AAATTGATTTTCACATTGAGCTAAAATGAACTAAAACCAAGGAAAGCAACATGAAAAGTTATGCTGTGCTCGAGAAATATTTTAGCTACAGCAAATTCTCCAGTATGGTCCTTTAATAAAGAACAATGTTCCCTTGTGCAAACCCCACTGTTGCAAACTGGTAATAGATCTGTCTGTCTGTCTGTCTGTCTGTCTGTCTGTCTGTCTGTGTGTCTGTGTGTCTGTCCTCACAGAGGATTAGTGACCCTCTATTAATGGCTGTCAAATAGAGCTCCCTGTTCCTGTAAACCTCTCCTCTTTGCCTCCCACCAACCAGAACATTCACACTTCAGACACTGAGAGAGCTGCTGTCACCTGTTGGAACCGTCTTTTTTTCCCCTTACATAGTTTATTTACACTTTCTTGATCTTGGCGACCAAGAAGCCCACTCCGACTTCTCAGAAGATGCCTGAAGTCCATCTAAAAAAGCTAAGCATTGTAGATTACTAGATTACTAGATTACTTTTCTGTGTGTTAAAATAAAATACTGGATCTACCCGACATGTGGCACAGGAAGGTTTTCACTACCTCGTATATTCCACTTATAATCTTGTTACAAGGATATAAAACAGAAAATCAGCAAACCCTTGTATTTGAGCAACTGGAACCAGCCAGTGTTTGGCTTTTTTGTTGGATAAATGAATTCATGACGTCACCACTTTTCACCTCCTTTCCAGTTCTGATGTGTGTGCCAACAGAGTGACAACAGAGTTCATTGAAAGTTGAGTGTACTGTACGTATGAATGTGTTGCTAAAAGAGGACACTACAGCGCGGCGTGGCTGAACAACAAAGTGTTATCGGATAGAGCAGCCAGACGTTGGTGCAGGCAGACGGCCAGATAAGAGCAGCAAACCCCGAGCACAATACTACCGGGAGAACAAAACACTCGCTCATGCTGACACACAGAGCGAGCAACCACAGCGCCGGTGTGTGACCGCGGGGGGGAAGCATTTCATGTGCCACTGTGGGTGTCGCCTTTTTTAAAAATTGTTTTAAATTGTTTATTTCCTTGTTTGGAGGATTGAAAGAAAGTCATCAAGAAATCGTAAATAGTTTTCTTACATTAACCTATCATCACTGTGTGTGTGAGTGTAACCCTGGATGTGAGTGAGGTGAGCCCCCCTGCTAAATAATAGCAGCAGTAGCCAGAGCTGTGTGTCAGTTATCTGCGGTAACAATGAGAAATGGCCCCGACGGTCACAGTGACTGACCCCGGCTCTGACCCCGCTGCCATCTAAAAAAAACAACACGGCCCCCACCGCAGGGGAAACACAGAAGAAGAGAAAAATAAAAGTCGGTCGGTCATTTTCTCGTGGTACAAATTTGTCGGCTCATCCAGGACTTTGGGGATAATTCTTCATAAATTATTTATAGCGCAGAAAGCAGGAATATGCACTCACCATATAAATAAAGAATCATTGTGTTAGAAATGTCTTTCTTTCTCGGGTTGCTCTTCAGGATTCATTTTTAAGAGCAGACTTGAGCGAAAATGTAATGAGATCGCTGTATATGAGTTAAACGTGCCCTGCAGAGATTTCCATGGTAAACAAACACAGTTTTGTTTATATTCAACTTTTCTTACCAAAACAAATTGTGCATTCCTCTCAGGGCTTTATGAACATGTGGACTGCGTTTTGTAACCTGATCAAATCTGAGCAAACTCTCTTGTCAGCCAAAATAGGATCACATAAGACATGATTTATGGGAACTCGTCCATCAGGAGTCTCTACAGCGCCACTCGTGGTCAAAATCTCCACAGTGTACCTTTAAATTAATGTTTTAGTATTTTTTACCTCTAGTTGTTAAATATTGTATCATAACCTCCACTAAATGTATGAAGGGGGCAATATAAACCAATAACTGAACGTAGTATGTTTCTTTTACAACTTGGTTTTCACTGACAAACAAAATGTTTGTATGAATTGATGAATATAAACGGTCTGATTTTACATATCAAAGTCTGTTTACAGGTCTTGAGGAGTTCTATTTCATATGTGAAAAAAAAACACTGTGTAAAGCCTTTGGTGGCTTCAAAGGGAGCTGAGTGAAATCTCATAAAATGCCTCAAGTAATGTCACTTGAGTCAGCATCAGTTGGGTTTGAAGACAACAAATTTGAAAATGAAAAAAATCTGTTGCTGTGGGTAATGTAGGTTTCGACAAGTAAGAAAATGTGGAATAAAAAAGACAATATCTCTGGTTCTGCTGAATTGGTTCTGTCCATTGTGAGTCTGAAATGTTTAAGGAGTCCAATGCTAAATCAGTGGGGTACAACTGTGTAAGAAGCTAAGCTAACTGCAGCCACTAGTACTAACCAGCGAGCTCAGAGTTGCATAATGAGAGCCAAAGGCTTCTGCAAGATGCATCCACATCCAAAAGGCAGTGTTTCATAATATGATGTTTGCTGGAGCAGCTCAGCAGTAAACTCTGGGACGCTACGTCTGTATGCAGCATTAATCCCTCCTATGAAAAGCAACCGTGACCTATAAATGCTATAAGTGCAACACACATTTTAACATACATGGAGACAAAAGAGACTCTGCTCGCTCATCGAAGTCTTCTCTGGATAAATACTGATCAAATAAAAGTGACAGAAAACACAACAGCAGTATAGATCACAGCTAACAAGCTAAAAAGATGTGTTTCTGTCAATAAACTCAGAGGTCAGATGAGCTTACTGTGTAAGATAAATGTTTACATGTTATATAACCATGATTACAAAAGGCTACACTTATGGCCATATGGCCACACACACACACACACACACACACACACACACACACACACACACACACACACACACACACACGATGAGGGCTTACAATACATGGGTTTACTGTACGCACACAGCTGGCATTAAACACACACACACACTTTAACATAAATACACCACCACACACAAAAGCTTTGAGCGTGTTTTAGAGAAATGATTCACTTTGAGCTGAGAGTTTCAGTGCAGAGATTGTTTGTAAGATTCTTACACATAACGCAGCAGGCAGGCGGTCCAACAGCAAATCAGACACTGACAGCTGGTGCCACTTGAACCAGCGTGATAAGACATCGCTTCCATTCCTTCCTGCAACCCTAATTTAAAACTGATGCACTGAAAAACACAAAAACTACCCGTATCTTGTTGTAGATCATTGCATACTGTGATGTAGCAGCAGAAAGCATACAGTTTACATTAACAGTATCTTAAGAGCTAACACTTTACTGCTCTGATAGCAGATCAGAATATACAGATGCTGCTATAAATCAAACCAACAAGTCCTCTGAATTAAACAACGAAATACATTCATGCCCTCCAAAACAATATAGTGTGTTCTGATCTGCCCATATCGGCAGGACAACATTGCTGTTTCAAATATAAAACTATTGATTGGTTATTAGGGAATGATGATGGTCATGGGTATAAGAAGCTACAGTAATACTGACTGTTAGTAAGTAATGAACAGTGGCCCCATGTCGAAGTCCAGGGACCCATTCATCCATCTGGACGTTGTCACCGATGTGCATCCTCCTTTGCTCCAGACGGACAAGAGTCAGAGCCAATCATTGTTTCTTTTATTTGAATGTAAACGTGTGGTTTTGGGGAATCTGATGAGACGACCGATGCTGTCGGACACTCTCATCAGACGACAGTCAGAATAAAAAAAAGACTTTGGTTAGGTAACACAGATGATTCAAGTTGAAGTTGAATATCCAGACTCTTTAGTCGCCTGCATGACCACTTTTGTCTACATGTATGTTAGAATGTACAATGGCAGAAAGTGTTATAGTTCAGGAGTTGTGGAGGACGAGCAGCAACAGTGAGTGTACGCTCATTTTAAGGGGGAAAAGGTCAGTAGTTATTCCGTCACCATCAGGGTCACACACGCATTCACGACGGCTGGCGGTGGTCACTCCCCTGCACTCGGGTATGTGTGATCATGGCCTTATACATCAGCTGCTTGTTAACCACCTGACTGATAACATCCAATCAAAGTCATTACTGTGTGGATAACATCATGACAACTGATCTATCATTTGAACAGAAGGTTTGTTAGACAGAAATACCCGGCAGGCAAACTTCAACCAATCAGATCAACGTATATACCAACAAAACCTACAATATTGGGAGAACTTCTCTGAGAACTCCCCCAGAGAGCCGAGCCTTTTCCACCAAATCTACCTCTTAAAAACATTCACTATAAATGATCTATTCTTTGATATAAATGGCCAAATACTCCAGACGGTGTGGGTATTTAGAGGAATTGTGCCACGTGAGATGAAGGTGAGGGTAAAGACTGTCACAGAGGAGTTATAATGGGTCAGTGTAGTTTCCTGTGCTGTCAGTATTGGAAATACATATAACGGCACTGTGAGGCAAACCATGTAACACCAGGTCTGAGAGGTCTTTTTTTTTTTTTTAACCATATAGATTTTCTCTTGGTTACAGTTTGTTCAGGAGCAGAGATTCTGCTCAGCATGTCGGATCGCCTTGTTAAAGGGTCTGAAACATCAATTTGCAGCATCCTGCAGGAGCCAATATTGTGATTTTTCAATTAATTAAAACTAATTAACTGCTGCTGAGGGCAGAATGAGGAAAGCATCAGGCTGTGGAAATATAAAGGTACTGTCAACACTAACTATACACACAACCACACATATACATGCATATATTACACCAAGAACAGATCAAGTATATATACACACACACACACACATTCAGACACAAGTCAGACCATTACTGGTTTAAAGAGGTCAGTGACAGGATTTGATGTGGCCACAGTGTGTGTGATGAGTCACAGTGTGGAGGAGGAATGACTTTAAAAAGCAATAACCAATCACAGCTTGTGTGTGTGTGTGTGTGTGTGCGTGTGTGTGTGTGTGTGTGTGTCCAGTTAGTTTTGATTCAGACATACAGGGAGAAGATTTAATGAGACTGTGGCTGAGAACTACCTCAATCTAATTACACTCACACTGATGAGAGCAGGAGGAAGAGGAGGAAAGTGTTCAGGAGCTGATTGTGAGGTCCCGTCAGTCAGTCACTCAGTTTAAGATCCTGCGATCGAGAGAAACGCAAACTCAACCAGTGCCGGTACATTTTTCCACAATAAATAGTCTAATTTTAATAATTGTAATAATTTCAGAACCACTTATACAAGTCAAATAAAATCAATGCAAACAACCTTCTCTGATGAGACCCACGTGGGATGCCGACTTTTAAAGTTACAGTAAATAAACAATACATACATATCTAATACCTTTTCATCCGTGCAGTTTGCTGGTTGTGTACTGAGACTATCATAAACAGAGCTTCAGGAATGAGTCCTAAAAGCTGGAACTGAGTTAGCATTTTAGCTCCTCTGGTTCCCTCACCTTGAAGTCAATGGATTTTTGGTTAGATGCCTGAAAATAAGGTCTGGGGTTTAATTACAAGTTGTAAGTTTAGTGGTGGTGACGCTGAAATCATGTGACCGTGGTGTAGTTTGTTTATTGCCTAACAGTAGCGTTTTACTTCTGGCGATTGAATTTAAGCTTGTTCATTTGTTCATTTGTAAAAGATTATCTTTCTGAACAAAACATACTAGTAAACTTTTATTCCCCACAGAGCTTATTTTCTGCAACAATCCAAAATCCAATGGAAAAATCCCATCAGCTGTTTGTCAAAGGAACCAGGGCGACGCTAACAAAAGTACAAAAGTACGCCGTCCCCGCAGCATTCAGACTCCACATGTGACTGACTACGGAGAGAAATGTCCACAAACAGATCATTTCTGACATCCTGAGAGACTCCAAAAATAAGAAAAGTGTACAATTTAGCAACATCATTTGGATGAGCTGCTGCAATTTCATCCTTTTCAGGCTGCATTACTCACACAAATTCTCCTTGAAATCCAAGAGGGACCGTCTGATGAATGATTATACACATACACACACAATGAGCAGGAGACACAGGGAGAGAGAGCGCAGCTTTTATCTCATAATGATAGATTGAATTTCCCACAAAGATGTTCAAATGTTCTGTCTTCTAGTACCATGTTTGTTGCTCTTGTTGTAGGTCTTAATGTGCTCACTGATGACGCAGGATGTTTAATCTGTTGTGTTCTCTCAGTCGCTCTGGCTCAGAGTCTCAGTCCCACGATATTGATGTAAGAAAGAAAGAGTGGGTGAGACTGACAGTAAGAGCTTAAGTGAAAGAGACCCTTTCTACCGCCACACACACACACACACACACACACACACACACATACACACACACAACTCCTACATCAGGACAACAGCCAATAGGGGGACAGCTGGTGGCACAGTTCCTGGACTCCGACCAATGACTGTATGTAGGTGGACCGGGGGGGGGGGTGTATCGTGTCTATTTGAGCGTACATGCACGTGTGTGTGTGTGTGTGTTGGGTGCTGTGTCTCCATGTGTAAAAACTGAGCACAGCAATCTGTTGAGTGTGTGTGTGTGTGTGTGTGTGTGTGTGTGTGTTTCAAATGTATGTATATCATTTATCTGTAGATGATGTAAAGAGTGATAAATGATCAAATGAAACAGGTGAGCATCATTCACAGCAATAAGAAACAATCACAAGTCTAGCTTTGAACAATGAAACACTCTTACAGTGAACATTTGGCTCCCTCTGAGAACAGAAGCTGTGGTCAGCTCGAGTTCAGGCAGCTGTGATGAATTCTAATAGTGTCAACATTGCACAACAGAATTTAATCAAAAAGTCCAGAGAAGTCTGAAACAACCCCTGCAGCACAGTCCACTTCAGGTCCATCTGTATGCTGAGTGCTGTGTGTTAAAACCACTTCCACAGCTTCTGTCTCAGTCCTCACATCATGACCCTGTCCATGCATTGGTTTGTGCACCAGAGCTCGTCCGTTGCATACCTGTTGGCTAGCCTGATGCTAACCTTAACCTATACACACAATTGAGCCTGGCTGAGAAGAAGTTTGACACAAAGAACATTCGCACATTTCCAGTCTTTATCTTTTACTTTTGCCCTTGGTGCCCCGGTGCAGCTTCATTGGAAAACATTCCACTTCCTCGACTAAAGGGACCGCTAATCAAAAGGGATAGATGGATGGATGGATAGATAGATAGATAGATAGATAGATAGATAGATAGATAGATAGATAGATAGATAGATAGATAGATAGATAGATAGATAGATAGATGGATAGATAGATAGATAGATAGATAGATAGATAGATAGTTAAAGAGATAGATAGATAGATAGATAGATAGATAGATAGATAGATAGATAGATAGATAGATAGATAGATAGATAGATAGATACTTTATTTATCCCGAGGGAAATTCAAGTCAAAATCAAAGCACTGCTCGAAACACGCCACAGTCCTGCTTTATAGGAATATCTTTTAGTCAGCACCTAGCAACCAAGACTCAGTGAGACAAACATCTTAAAATGAACCAAAACATCCATAATTAAGACACTGCTGTTGATCCATATGTTCAGTACAGTTGTCACCGTCATTAAATTGTAACATAATTAAAATAGCATGACACAGAAGTAGGGTCTTTAGCAATGCATTCCTTTAATATACTGCTGGGATGCACTCAATCTTCAGCCTTCAGCCTTAGCACCCCCATCTTAAATGACATTCAGATCTCTGCATGTTAACAGATGCAGAATGAACATCAGCCCTGCGTTACGGCCAAGGGTGCATGTTGCCACATGACATCACTAACCACTAATAACGCTCTTTCTCCATCTCTTGATCCCAGAGGAGAGAGAGGAAATGCATGAGTGGACACACTCCTGGCCTGTCAATCACACGCAGAGGTAAAGTGGAGGTGGGAGAGTGTCTTGAGGGTGGATGATGTGTGAAGGGAGAGAGAGAAAGGATGAAGGACAGAGGAGGAGGGGGTAAAGAATGACGGGGCAAATATTGAACCTGTCAGTCAGACAGGGAAGAAAATCTTTAGTGATGGTTTTATCTCAAAAGGCTCTTTAACAGAGCGTGAAAATATTTTACTTAAAGGACAATTCCGGCGCAAAATGAACCTGAGGTTAATAACACACGTGTACCGAGTTGGTTCGGTCTCTGGCATTTGTTTTCATGCTAATCGACCGTGACCGGTAATTAGCTTATAACGCTAGTCGACGGGGCACAGAGTAACGTGAAAAGAAATCTATTTCTATACCACAAACAAGACTCAAAATAGCACCACACTTATACAGTAGCATAATGAGGGCCCCTACCTGTAAACCGCAGCTTTGAGAGAGAACTTTGTAAGTGTACAGACAGTTTATTAAAAAGATAGTTTAGAACAACAGCAGCGTTCGCGTATACAGGCGGGCGCTATCTTGGTTAAACAGTCAGGGGTTCGGTCATTCATGCAGATCAATGATCAAGACTTACAGCCGGCGATGTGAACTAAAACAAACGTAATCTGCTCAATATATCAGAAATAATCGCACCGATGTAAAACACAACTTGTCTAGTGTACTTACTCAGTGGATAACTGTCCATCTGGTCCCTCCGCTATGAGTCGCTGCCTCCAGTTTATTTTTCGGGACATGGGAAAAAGTTTCGAGTACAGCTCTGTTTATCAGAGAGGGGAACTCTTCAGCATTGACTACCGGTAGCTCTCTCTCTCGTAGCCCTTTCACGGAGCTCCCGCCAGCTCTTCGAGATGGCGGATTATTCAACCGAATTAGAAGACATCGACAACGAAACCCTTTCAGTTTGATGGACGTCCTTATCTTTTTCGAGCCGGAATATACAGACGAAGAGCTGCGGGAGCTCCGTGAAAGGGCGTCAAGTTGTGTTTTACATCGATGTGATTATTTCTGATATATTGAGCAAATTACGTTTGTTTTAGTTCACATCGCCGGCTGTAAGTCTTTATCATTGATCTGCATGAATGACCGAACCCCTGACTGTTTTCCCAAGATAGCGCCCGCCTGTATACGCGAACGCTACTGTTGTTCTAAACTATCTTTTTAATAAACTGTCTGTACACTTACAAAGTTCTCAATGCTGCGGTTTACAGGTAGGGGCCCTCATTATGCTACAGTGTAAGTGTGGTGCTATTTTGAGTCTTGTTTGTGGTATAGAAATAGATTTCTTTTCACGTTACTCGGTGCCCCGTTGACTAGCATTATAAGCTAATTAGCGGTTTGTGCTAAAACCGGTCACGGTCGATTAGCATGAAGACATATCCCAGAGACCGAACCAACTTGGTACACATGTGTTATTAACCTCAGGTTCATTTTGCGCTGATTGTCCTAATTAAAAAAAAAAAACCACAAGTCCTTAAAAAAAAATTATTTTTTTTTAATTTACGATTTTTTTAATTTAAAATAAAAATGCCTCTAAGTATTCCTGTTATGGATATTTGTGTGCTCAGGTGGTCTCATCAGCTTCACCTCTTTCTATTTTGCGTTAATGGAACATTTCTGTTGCTTCTGAAGTTCAGCATGGTCCTTGAATAAACAGGTCAGGGTCCCAAACTGATCCGCATGTGCAAACGAACAACAACACGTCCCACGCAGAATGCTGTTGCAGATGATAACGAGGACGAAGACAAACTTTTAATTATGGCTTGTTGTGGAGCAATTGGTGCTTCTCCTGTACAGACATTTGTGAATAAGAGTACCGGTAACAATTCGACCCCTAAAGTTTTGCTTGTACAGAAGTGTCAACCGAATAGTAACAAGGTCCGACACCTCACTGTCCCTCCCCTGACTACCTCAATTGCAGCTGCAGTGACTCCTGCCAACGTAGAATTACGACAGCTGTCGACGTAAAAGTCACATAAATTCTGATATGAGTTTATGCTGAGGTTGCATTGCAAAACATTTGGACCACATATGAAAGTGGCCCAAATCAGAATTGAAAGGATCAGATTTATTCTGTGCTGTTCACATATGAGCAAAAGAATCTGATTTGGGACACCTTTGCCTGCAGTGTGAATGTATGCTTATGGAACTGACAGCATGTTAAATTCTTAATCATTCAAAATTACAGATTCAGGCATTACGTCCAAGGTTATTAAACAGACAGGATATGATTTTAGAGAAGCTTCTT